AAATTGGAAAAACAAGATTTTTTCAACAAGTTTTCTACAAAATAAATTTAGTAGATTTTATAGTAGGTACTTCAAAAATGAATTTTTTAAGGAATAATAAATTGAATTAAAAAATAATGGGAAAAAGTTCTAAAAGTAAAAAATGAATAATTGTTTATTAGTAGAAAAAACAGCAAAAAAATGCCAACGGCACGTAGTGTTCCCAAGCGGTCACCCATCCAAGTACTAACTATGCCCGACGTTGCTTAACTTCAGTGATCGGACGAGAACTGGTGTATTCAACGTGGTATGGTCGTTGGCGAAGGAGGAGAAAAATATAAAAAAATTTAAACTGATCAGATATAGGAAAAATAATATTCACATTTTTTTATATTACAGACTTGCACTACTTGCAGTAATCCAAGTCACAACTAAATAAATCTATGTTATAACTGAATTTTAACYTGTATTAATCAAATTATGCTGAATAATAATAAATGTGTGAAAAATAATGAGATATCAAACAACTATCTTTTATGCTTTTTTTTATTATAATTTYTAACAGTGGCGTACGCAAAGGGGAGTTAACGTGCTGAAGCCTTCCCCATTGATAATATTGTTTGTTTTTTTTTACCCGTGGTTCCATACAGTCTCTATTATTTAAATTTGTCACAACTAGGTACATATGATTAAGAAAAGAAGAATAAAGAAAGTACCTATCTACTTTATTTTTCAAACCTTATATTAAAATAACTGAGTGATTTTTTATTTCCAAGCCCTCCTCCCCACCAGATTGAAAAATACTGCATAAGCCACTGGATTTTAAATTTAATGCCACTATTCCCGCATCGCATGAACATTTTATTTTCAATATTAATTTATTATTTTAATTAGTACTTAGCACTTACACTCGTTACACGGTATTTCATTAAGTCTTTATTTATTGCAAAAAGGGTTGTATATTATTGATATAATTACCTACCAAGTATATTTAAAGATATATTGTAATATACATAATATTATATATTACATAGGCATTGTGATTACAGATGTATTTATAAATTTATTTTAATACTAGCCATTAATTATATACCTACGGTATGTTTGATATTATTAATATTGGACAAAATAATTTTGAAAATATCATTGCTTTGTATAAAAATAAAATAAATTAGTAAACAATCCAGAAAAACAAAGAAAAAATTGGAAAAACAGGAATTTGACAACAAAATAAATTTAGTTAATTTTTTAGGAAGTACTTCAAAAATAAATTCTTTGCGGCAAAACAATTTGAATATGATAACAGTGAATAGTTCTAAAAGTTAAAAATGCAAAATAAATAAAATGTTATAAAAAAAAGTAAAAAATGCCAACGGCACGTAGTGTTCCCAAGCGGTCACCCATCCAAGTACTAACTASGCCCGACGTTGCTTAACTTCAGTGATCGGACGAGAACTGGTGTATTCAACGTGGTATGGTCGTTGGCGTTAACTCTGTGGAAATAAAAATATTTAAACTGACTAGTTATAGCAAAAATATCGTTTAGATTTTTCTGTACTATAGACTTTTATGAAAATATAATAAGAAATGAGATATTTGGTACGTATCATTAAATCATAGCCATATATGTTAGGCCACAATTTTCTAGAAAATAATGATATTTAAATTGACCAGGTATAAAAAAATGTAAATTTATATTTTTACATGATTTTTAGAATTAAGTACAGTGGTGGATTTAGCGTCAGGCAAAGTAGGCAGTTGCCTAGGGCGGCAAATTTTTAGGGGCGGCAATTTTAGGCCAATATTTTATTGAAAATATACTCTAGGTTTCTTTTTGATTTTCTTATGTTCGGTGATTACTTTGAAGTTTGAAGGATGGAAAATAAAAATGTTTAATATTTGTATAACATAATATTCTTGTTAATATAATTTCTTCATTATTTTATAATACTAATACATAACAATAAACGCCATATAAATAATCGAACGACTGCCGGAACGTTTATTTTCTATTATCTAAATACTAACCATAGATTACATATTTCGTTATTTTGTTTTTTTACTAAGTCGTAATAATGGGGCGGCAATTGTGTAAATCCGTCTCTGATTAAGTAACTTTAGTCTACATTTCTGTTAAAAAAAAAAAAAAATTATATTGTTATTTTTTTGGAACTTAATCGCAGTTACCTTAGATTTTCAATTTTTTAAACTATACAACCTTAAAGCTTAATAATTGTACATTTTATTCCAGTAATACGGACTGCTATAAGTAAGTACGTATCTACTTTGATTTTGTGATACATCAATAGCAATATGTAAAAATATAAAAAGAGATTTGACTGTTCGGTGTAGTGCTAGTATAATTATTATCAATATCATCAGTTAAATATTGCCAGTTAACTCAAGTGTCAAGTGGGTACCCCGATCTTCTGTACAGTATAATAGCTGATGCTGATATGTTTATTTTTTTTGATTAATACCAGTGAAACAAAATCTCTTGAGAAGACGCCACACCCGCATGTGTTGTCTCCGTCGTACAAGTGCGTAGCATASCAAATKTTACGCTCAGCABATCAMGWTTATCTYCGTTAATTTAAAATTTAGAGTGAATTGACTTATTATAAAAATTAAAGACAWGATTATTACCGAGGGCATCTCATAAGCTTTTTATTATATTTTAATTTTAAACTGAGTTATGACTATTTTAAAAATGTAAATTATTTTTATATCTAAAAATACTCATAACTCGATTTAAAATTAAAATATAATAAAAAGCCTATGAGATTCCCTTGGTAATAATCTTGCCTTCAGTTTTCATAATAGGTCAATTCACTCTAAATTTTAAATTAACGGAGATAAACGTGATCTGCTGAGCGTAAAATTTGCTATGCTACTCACTTTGTACGACGGAGAAAACACATGGCGTCCTCTTAATCATGTGTTTCGTCTATAAAAATATAATATAATATACACTAATATATGCTATACAGAATAAAGATAAATACACATCGTAAAATCAGTTTTAGCTGATACGACACTATAATATATCTTATGTATAATTTATACATCAATAGTACCTACATAGATATTATWYTTTATTTATACATCTGATTATGTTTATGCGTACATTTTTAAAAGCAAGTATTTAAATTTTTATTTACTTTATTTTAATTATGGTATATAATATACTATATAATAATTTGTATATGCAAATACAACGTTTATTGTTGAACACAAATAGAAGCGAACTCATTGATCTGAACAACGCGAATGAAAAACTATATCACTCATCACTCGTCGACCGACGACCATACTACCCTAAATAACTGGCTAAACTGTAAAACTGATGTTACCATATTATAAAACAATCTATATTATGGGTATTACACCGATAAACTGATTAATGTRTTGGCCGTAATAAATATTGTCCCGTACCTATCCGTATACGTACAACTGCAGATTTGGTAGTTACATCGATTGCAGTGGTAGTGGTGGGGCTGGAAGGATAATACCGAAGTACCGCTCACGGTCACGGATCACCGATCACCATCGGGCATTGGGCAGTGGGCAGCGACGAGGACGACCACCTACGCCGGATTACTATAAATTATAATGTTTAAACCCTGCCGGAATTTATTACGTTGTTCGTAGAAAAAAAGATAAACCCAACACATGTATTCGGGGTGTACGTCTGCTGCTGACTGCTATAAAAAATATCCCAAGCAGTCATCTCTCCGAACAGTTTGAACCGTATCTCGMCTAATCGCTACAACAACTACCTAGTCGCGTCTCGCGTTACTGCTTTAGTCGTTAGCTGCACTCGGAACAGTCGTAATCGGCGAAGCACGTGTAGTCGCCACACCGAAACACCAACTATTATAGATAGTATACAATAGTCTCAGCTGTTGTATTTACACGATGTCGAAAAAAATTAACACCGGTGTAAGTTAATACATTTTATTATATTATTTATTAATATGACTAACACAAACGTAGATTTCTGTTTCCGCGGATGAAAGTGGTTCGAAAACAAAAATTAACCGTTGTCAACGTTGTGATATCTTATATATTATTAAATGGACATTTTTATCTCAGAAGGTTGCGGGTCTGTCTTCGCCTGGTATGAAACATCGCTCAGACGGATTTAGTTTAGGGTTGGAACCAGAAATGATTATCAACTCGAAACCGGTAGAAGGAACAAATTACCTTTTGATGAAATGGAAAGACGTCAAAGAACCATCTTACGTCAAGGCTTCGGTTGCTAATAAAAAATGCCCAAGTATTGTTATTGATTTTTATCAAAGCCACCTTACATGGTCTAATTTTTAATGTAATGTATGAATACTATATAAATTTTATTTTATTTATAAATATATTTTTAAATACTTTTTGCATTATGTCTTATCTAGGTATATGATTCTATAATTTTAGATCATGTACACATGTACAATATTTTGTAATACCTATACTAATTATTAAATTAAATTTTATACCATTATTTACTACATATGTATTACAGTTTATTATTATGCCTAGCATACAATTTATCGTCAATAACTTATTGTTAACATATTTCATGTTTATTTCACTTTCAAGATGTATATAGTATTTTTTAGCTTAACAATATATGTATAACCAACACTTATATAAGCACTTAAACTTATTCTATATTAACGGGTTGCATTTATAATAAATATTAAATAATAATATTATTATGCATAGGAAAATATTCAATACATTGTATATGAAATACATAAATTCAAAATAATTTTAAAACAAACTGATTTTTTCTTGATTGCTGCCTATACTGCAGGGTGATTCTTTTAAGTGGGTATACATACACTAATTATCTCGAAAAGTATTTACATTTTTCAAAATTTTTTTTACATGGTTTCATATGTTGTTAAAAAACCAACATTTTTATTAAAAAATTATATTTTTAAATATTTTTTATCCTTATCATTTTTTAAGTTTTTACTTTTTTGAATGACAACAGAGTTTTAAATTCATAATATTCCAAAGCAGAATATTTTTCTAAGTAGTTTGATTCATAAAAATCAAATTTAGGACGAGTAGTTTATGAGTTATATGTATTTAAAGTTTTGACAAGCGGAGTAGTAGATAAACATTTTGCGGGGTAATCCCGTACTACACCACTAAGCCAATCTAAACTTTAAATACTTATAACTCAAAAACTACTWGCCCTAAATTCGATTTTTATGAATCAAAATACTTAGAAAAATATTCTGCTTTGGAATATGAAATTAAAACTCTATGTTGTCATTCAAAAAAGTAAAAAACTTAAAAAAATGATGATAAAAAATATTTAAAAATATAATTTTTATTAAAAACGTTGATTTTATTAACGACTTGAAACACCATGTAAAAAATATTTTTAAAAAAGTAAATACTTTTCGAGATAATTAGTGTACCCACTTAAAAGAATCACCCTATACATAGAATCGACTAGAGTAAAACAAAAAACGCAAATACGATAAAATTCGGTATTATTTTGCACAAATGTGAACGTACGTGAACGCAAACCGTAAATTATTTTCAGTTTGTCCTGTCTATATTTTGTCTAGTTCAGTAGTTGCAGTTGCCAGTTAAGTCCTGTTAAAGTTTCAGTGATCAATTTGGATATTGTATTCGTGTCTGTAATATTCAACGACCAGTGACCACTATGTCCTGTAAAATAATTTTCTCCTATTGGCTGAACCACATGATTCCATTAAGGTCATCTTTGGCAAACAACATTCAACTAATTTACCTGCGTCCCTGTGATATATCATTGTTTTATCACACAATAGTATATAGTAACCGAAATATTATTACAAATTGCATAATACATTCAACTTTTGAAAACGTAGTTACCTATAGACATCATCTAGGTATTAATTTGGTTATATTTATGGTTTATTATGAATTTTTCTGATTACTGTAACTTTTTATTTTAAATAACTTTCAATTCGTTTATTATTATAATATTAATAGATATTTTTATTTTAGGTATTTAAAAAATGATTGAATGTTATCATCTGCAGGTACACTATAATTCACATAATTGAAGAGAATTTCGGTATAAACCAGGCATAAACAAGGTATAAACAGGTGAAATACCTGTTTTTCGGTATAAACCTATAACATTTATATCCGTGATGGTACAAGACTATAAACAGAAAACGACCGGAACGAAGGCACTGTAATAGGCTGACATATTTCAAAAATATTGAACATGTTTCAGAGCCCCCAAATTTTATTTATTTTTTTAAACTACCCAACAAAAATTTAATCACATCTCCGTCTATGGAAGGTCATACTACGATCATTAAATACACGACATGACACTGTGTATAAAAATGATTCACTAATGACTAATCTCACTATAGAACAAGCACTAAATTCATTACATGATACCAAAAAAGTAATGTCTAATCACAATTTATTCGATTATTACAATTCAATCGACACGACACTACAAAAAATACTAAAATGACGATATTTTACGGAATAGACGGTATAATTGAAAAAAATCGTCAATAATCATGCCGAAATTTTCTATTTTATGGTAGCTGAAAATTGTATAAAAACTAAATATTATATGTAAAACAATATTATTGATTAAAATCATTTTTTGTTTTTAAATAATCAAAATAACGAGTAATACAGTAATGAGTTCATAATATAGATTATTATTTGATATAATATTAAACTAACAATAATGGTTACATGTTACTTAAAGTTAATATTGGAGTTCATTAGAATCACTGTAAGGACATGATCACCAGAGGTCCATTGGCACAACTATTGGGGGAGGGGGGGGGTGTTTAAAATGTGCTCCCAAATTCCAAAAATGAATCTGATAGTTAATAATTTTAATAGCCGCCGCGGCTACAGTCAAACTGTCTAAGTTAATTTTATTTTGTAATTTATGTTATTTTCGTTTTTGACTGTCTGTAGCGATTAAGCATTGAAAAAGCATTAAAAATAACAAACATAGCTTGAGGACCAAATATAAAATTTCTAGGGGGCCTGAGTAGGTATGACAGCCTGTAATCGCGCTGCCAATCCGCTCATGTATGCATCATCAAAACGTAAGATTTTCTTTTAAATTTTGACTATTATGAAGTAACACAAATTCTGTACAATACCAACTATACGGTTTATTGAGAAATATCACTTTTTATTCATAAACAGGCCCATCCGAATATCCGATACCAAATATTATATTGAAATCTGATTGTCGCATTTCGCATGTCGCAGTGATGCAGCCCGTTTAATATACTACGTTTATATTGTAGTGATCACGTCGCCTACAAGTATCAGTAGTCAAGGATGATGTTGGAAGGCGACTCTTGAGTTGATTTAAACAACGTTGAATTATTTTTAGTTAGACTGGTTTATTATTTATTTTGACAAAACATATATTTATTTATAAACATGAAAACTGAATTTTATTTAACAAATTAGGTATTCTGAATGGCTAGAATAAATTCGGTTTGACTCGAATATTTTCTAAGTTCAGAATATTATTTTACGAGAATTTTCTCAAGTCCAATTTAATTAATTATAGAACAGACTGGCGCGAAGGTGCTCTGGCTAGTCTGGTCAAGTCGCGTCTGAATACAGGCCGTTTCGGGGTCCCTTATTATACAGTACTACCCTCTACTCCCCATAGTCTACTTGCTCTTGTCACTGTTCTCACGGATGTGGTGTAATCATCTAAACTGACGGAAATGCCACTCGCCCACACACGAGGAAAATGCGCATCCCGTGCAGCTGCATACCTCGATAATTTATATTATTATTATGTAAAAATATATATTATGATATTACATAATAACATCGGTTCTTGGAACTTTTGTACTGATGCATAACCCCTGCACGTCCTGTGCACACCTATTAATAATCTTTTATAGTCGTATGACCACATTATTTCGTATTTCCCTTATGTTAATGATTTCCACGAAATGCTTTCTTTCCTACAATTACAAAGTTGGTCGCACCCTATACCCTAGCTTGGTTCAGCTGGTACCTAGTTGACCGTGAACTAGACAATTCGAGACGCTAGTCCATAGCAATATGATGGCGTTATTAAAACGGTTTTAAATTCTTAAACTACAAAGTGCGAGCGTTTTAACGTCATCGTATAAATGTAGTAATATTAATTATAAATATATTATTAGTAAAGCCAGTAAAGGTCTATGAGGAATATAATTAGAAAGTAGAAAGTACTTCCATTTAATTAAGTAAACATATTTACTATACCTACTGTTCACTGTTTAAATTGGCAAATGGTAATTTCAATTTGGTGTGCAAGTGTGCAACAAGAAAATTCTGAACACTAACACTGACCCCAAGGCGTAGACGGATACAGAGAAAATGTAAGATTCTAAGATGTGTAATAATTTTATAATTTATTTAATCATGTATAATAACTGCATATTAAAAAAAAATCTAGTGAAAAACTAAAAAAAAAAAACGAACTTCTTATGTTTGAAATTTTGTACTGGTAACACTGGACCTGGTACTGGGTATCATCGGTATCTTCCATTTCTTTGTTATCTATAGAAAATTTAAAAACATCATCGACTATAATTTATTGATAATTGATAATAAACGTATAGAAGCGGCATATTATTTTGTAAAGAAATTAAAAGCCTGTAACTGTCTTCTACAATATTATAACTGTCTATCTAGTGTTTAGTCCCGTCTCCTTTGTAGTGTTTTAGTGTGTAGTTTGTGGATTCAATTCGGACGTGTTAACAGCCACTTTAAAAATTCAAGTATGAAGCAGAGCAATAATCCTCATTTAGAAAAATGCAGAAAACTAGTTCGCACACATCTCGATTTGGTATTTTTGTTAACTGACAACTTGTATAGTTGTATTTTAAATAGGTTATAATATATTGTATTTTATTAGCAATTATTCTCATCTGCATTGTTTTGGGCTGACAAAGCAGCCACTTTAAGTCATTTTGATCCAAGAGATATTTATCAACTAGCTAGTTGCATGTTTTTGTTAAAACAATACCAAAGGGCGGTCATGCTGATAAAAAATAAAGGGTTGGATAAAGTAAGAACAATTATGTTGTAATTTATTTATAATTTGAACTTATAATAATAATAATAATAATAATAATTTTTGTTTTTTAAGACTGATATGTTATGTTACTACATGGTCTTAAGATGTTTGGTAGAAGCCAAAGACTACACAGAAGCAGCTAACATTATTAATTCAGAAATAAATCCAACATCATGTAATGTATCACTTCAACAACAAGATATGAAGTCTCATGATGGTTTGACTCATTTTAATGTTTGTATACAAATTTATTTTTAACAACTAAGAATGAAAATTTCAACAGCAGTTATTTTTTAGGTTCAAAGTGCATTATTTTGTATTAAAGGAAAAATATATGAAGCATTAGATAACAGAAATTTTGCTACAGATTGTTATAGAGAGGCTTTGAGAAATGATGTACATTGTTATGATGCATTTCAAGCTCTTATACAGCATCAGATGTTAACTTCATTTGAAGGTTGGTTGAAATTTATAATTATTAGTTATATACTGGAAAAAGTGTAAAGATAGTCAAATTAATATTACATAATTATACCAGACTGTTTAAACTTAATTTATATATTTTT